TTATTATTATTATATTAGTATTATATTATATTTTATTATCATTATTAATAACAGCAATAACAATTATAATAATGATGATACTACTACTACTACTACTACTATCAATAAATGATTTTACGATTATAACTAGAAGCACTCAGAGAGCCCATACCTCCGTCAAGGCAATAGGGTCACTGATGCAATAAAAATATTCACACTTGAAGAATGACATTAAGATCACCTTTCTCAAGCACACAGGTGACGTCCATAACCATAACCTACTTAGCGGAGGTGATAATGGTAATGGTGATAATGATCATTAAAAAAATCCTGGATCCGAATCATGATCCGGATTAACATCAAAATCTAATGAAATCAAGTCAGGCTAAGACACACGGGAGGTAAAAATAAATCATAAAAATCTGTTCATAACATTTTAACGTTTAATTTGCAATTGGGGTGACTCGTACAGTCGTTAAAACGAGATGAATCCAAAATTTAATGGAATCCAAGTTACGCCCATACATATCCCTTGAAAAAAATAATGAAATTAGTTCATACCTTCTTGATCTATCCTTCTAACCAAAGAACAAACTAAATAACCAACGCGACCAAAAACATAACCTCCTTGGCGGAGGTAATGATAAGCATTGGCATGATCATTTGTAGTAATATCAGTTGTAATGACTTAAATGAATAGCAGTGGCAGTAGTAGTGAGAAGAACAATAGCAATACGTCTTAAAGAGGTCGATGTCAAAATGTTTTCCTGACGCAGGCCAAGAAGGACGCCGAGGACCTGAACCTGGCCGTCACGGGCTCGGAGATCGTGGGCCTGGTTCCTCTGGCGGCGATCCTGCAGGCTGCGGACTACTACATCGAAAAGGAGAAGCTGTTCATCCTCGACGAGGAACAGAAGGTCCATCTCGCCATCAACCGCCTTGGCTTGACTACCATATCCTCCTTCAATCCAAAGTAGGGAGCCTGGAGACATTTTTGTATTCATGGAATCGAACAGTAACTATTTCATAATCACATGAAATTATGTATTTTATTGGAGCATTCTGCCTGTTAGCGAAATTCCTTCACTCTTCATTCATCCTCCGCCTTTCCCTTAACTCGTAAAAATTCCCTTTCTATTATCTTATCATGAGGATTACTCTTACACAACAGCCAACTACCAGTACTTTGTCTGCCATCAGACACCAAGGAAAATTAATTTCATTTCACGAAAGTCTTTCTTTTCCACTTCAGGGAGAGGATCATTGAGTACTGCCTCGAGAACCAAAACTCGAATGCTCTGGCCAACAACACCGTGTCTCAGTTCATCAGAAGTGTGGCAGCGCGCACGCCTGCCCCGGGAGGCGGCTCCGTGGCCGCTACAGTTGCTGCCTTGGTAAGTCTACCCTCTGACGTGGCTTTCCCTACGCTCTATTGACTTTTGGCCGACCTGAAACCTGAGGCGGAATACACTCGCGGATTTGTTTCGTCTGAATGGTGAAATTAAACGGAAGTGGTATCCATAACCATTCGCACAAGAAATAACAGGAAATCATTCCTCCCCAATCCAGGGTTCAGCACTAGGCGCCATGGTGGGCCAGATGACGTACGGCAAGCGGCAGTGGGAGGCCCTGGACGCCACCATGCGGCGCCTCCTCCCGCCCCTCCACAACACGGCCGTCGACCTCATACCCGCCATCGACGCTGACACCGCCGCCTTCAACGACTACATGGTAACTCGTAGTTTTATAATTAATATGGATTTTGTCCAAATCTCATGCAGTTATTTTCAAGCTATTTTAATCACTTGGACACATGAAAAATGACATGTAAAACAACATGAAAGACACAAGATATATACGAACACATCCATGCAACAACGCTCCTAAGAGTAATACTCCTCCCACTACCTACCACACGCACAGGCCGCTCTCAAGCTGCCGCAGAAGACGGAGGCGGAGAAGGCGAAGCGGGAGGCGGCGGTGAAGGCGGCGACGGAGGCGACCATCCGCGTGCCACTCTCCCTCATGAGCACAATTAACGGCACTTGGGACGCCCTTGCGGAGATGGCGGGGGTCGGAAACATCAACTGCAGATCCGACCTTCAGGTAAAAAGCAGTCTTTCTCTTCATCTTTACTGTTGGCAGATATGATCATGAGCAGTGGTGGTTTGACTCAATATTCCATATACTGTAAATCTGATAACTGTCAATGGTATTCATTTTACGAAAGAACGCAAAGGACCACATTAGGTGGCTCTCCCCTTTGAAATTACCCATATTATCCCAAATAAAAATGTAGGAACATCTATATTTTCTGTCATTTTTCCACCTCTAGTTTATTTTCAGCTGTCTCATATCCAATTGGGTGGCTCTCCCCTTTGAAATTACCCATATTATCCCAAATAAAAATGTAGGAAGACTATAATTTGGTCTGCATTATCTAACCATATAATAGCATTTGTAATTCTTCGTTTTATATTTTTTAAAATTACAACTATTTCTAACACGAAAAACGTATTATATTGTTTAAAAATCGTGAAAAACACCTCATGTTCTACCAATTAATTTTTCCAATCTAGAGACCATAAAAATACAGAAACTGAACAAATATTCTTTTCGCACAACAAGACCTTAATCCTTCAACTCTTACTCCTCATTAAACACTCACAAAGGGGCGTCCTCCAAACCGAACCATCGAGCCTTAACCTTCCTTGCGCTCTTCTCCTACAGGTGGGTGCTCGGTGCCTAGAAGCTGGTTCCTGGGGCGCCTATTACAACGTACTCATCAACCTGGACAATATCACTGACCCATCCACCAAATCCACCTACTTGGCCGAAGCGGACGCCCTCTTGCAACGAGCCAAGCAAGGGTGCAGTGCCGTACTTCAGGCGGTAGAGAGGCGGCAGAAGTAAACAACGGGAAGGGAGAATAACTATAAAAGTTGATGAGGATTTGAGTCACTTTTGCTTGATCAATTTTTGTTCTTTGAGTTCGTTTGCGAATAATGTGAAAACACGAAACAAGAATGATTTCATTCTACTTTTGTAAACATTTCATTGTAGGATGTAATAGAATAAATAAACTATCCCTGAAAGATAAGTTTTCTTTCGTAGCAGAAGTGAATTACTGATTAAAATCGATGTAAGAAATTTATTTTGCATGTGGGGTAATCTACATAATAATCAGATGGATTATCATGTTGCTTTTAAATATGAACCGCCAATTCACGTTGCTCAATGATGTGTTGCTCAATAACAGCCATGAAAGATACATATCCTTGTAATGAGAAATAAATGTTGACCTCTGGAGATAATAGTCAATTATTTTCTTTCTGTGCGTGCTGTGGTTAACCTTATCAATTCAATCCTGATCAATTCAGTCTCGGATGTTAAGTTAACTTGCTATTTTCTTTGTTTCTTTACATTCTCTCTTTCTAGCACATTTATTTGTTTAAACCATCAACTATCCATTCTCTCTGTCTACCTCCCTCCCTCCCTCTCTCTCTCTCTCTCTCTCTCTCTCTCTCTCTCTCTCTCTCTCTCTCTCTCTCTCTCTCTCTCTCTCTCTCTTCCTCTCTCTCTTCTCTCTCTTCTCTCTCTCTCTCTCTCTCTCTCATCTATCTTCTATCTCCCTTCTCTCTCTCTCTCTCTCTCTCTCTCTCTCTCCTCTCTCTCCTCTCTCTCTTCTCTCTCTCTCTTCTCTCTCAGTCTCTCTCTCTCCTCTCTCTCTCTCTCTCTCTCTCTCTCTCTCTCTCTCTTCTCATCTCTCTCTCTCTCTCTCTCTCTCTACTCCTCTCTCTCTCTCTCTCTCTCTCTCTCTCTCTCTCTCTCTCTTCTCTCCTCTCTCTCTCTCTCTCTCTCTTCTTCTCTTCTCTCTCTCTCTCTCTCTCTCTCTCTGGAGTAATAGTCAATTTAGCGATAAAGACAAAACTAACTAAAAGTTTGTTTAATTTCTGACGCATTTTTGAGATTCAACTTGGCAATCCTTTACTGTTTTGCATCATCCCCACATCTAAATACATATCTATCTATCCATCTAATATATGTATCAACTCATCTATTTATCTGTCTACTTATATCTATCTATCTACCTACTCATTTATTTATTTATTTACCTACTCATCTATTTATCTGTATAACTGTCTATCCATCTATCTAATTATCTATTCGCGTATCTGATTATCTATTGATATCTAATCTGATTACCAATTCGCGTATCTAATTATCTATTCTTATCTATTCATCTATTACGTATCTATCGATTCATGGCTTTTGGGAAATATGATCTTTACTATCATGTTGCTTTCAAATTTGAACCGCAATTCACGTTGCTGATTTGCTTAATAACAGCCATGAAAAATATATATCTTTGTAATGAGAAATATATGTTGACCTCTGGAGTAATAATCTATTATTTTCTTTCTTACGTGCTGTGGTTAACTTAAGTTAATTTGCTATTTCTTGTTTCTTTACATTCTCTCTTTCTAGCACATTTATTTGTTTAAACCATCAACCATCCATTCTCTCTGTCTACCTCTCTCTCTGTCTCTCTCTCTTCTCTCTCTCTCTCTCTCTCTCTCTCTCTCTCTCTCTCTCTCTCTCTCTCTCTCTCTCTCTCTCTCTCTCTCTCTCTCTCTCCTCCCTCTCTCTCTTCTCTCTCTCTCTTCTCTCTCTTTTCTCTATCTCTCCTCCCCTCTCTTCTCTCTCCTCTCTCTCTCTCTCTCTCTCTCTCTCTCTCTCTCTCTCTCTCTCTCTCTCTCTCTCTCTCTCTTCTCTCTCTCTCTCTCTCTCTCTCTTCTCTCTCTCTCTCTCTCTCTCTCTCTCTCTCTCTCTCTCTCTCTCTCTCTCTCTCTCTCTCTCTCTCTCTCTCTCTCTCTCTCTCTCTCTCTCTCTCTCTCTCTCTCTCTCTCTCAGTCTAATCATTAGCGATAAAGACAAAACTAACTAAAAGTTTTGTTTAATTTCTGACGCATTTTTGAGATTCAAACTTGAGCAATCCTTTACTGTTTGTGCATCATCCC